TAAAAATCTACTATTATTTTTTATATTGCATTATGATCGATAAATTAAAATTTATTAATATAGCATCATCTTTTTTATTAATCTTTAGCTTACATGCTATATTTATTTAACATCAATATTTAATTTTAAAATTTTTGAAGTATATATAGATATAAAACAAATTATTAGAAACTCAAAACTATAAAGATAGTTGATTAAGTTACATCTTTTCATTAGTATATAGATAAAAAAAAAATAAAAAAAGGCTTCTATAATTTGTATATAAAATTTTTAATTAATTTTAAAATAATTAATAAATTTAATTAAATTAATAATACTTTAATAAATTTGAATTGAGGTAATAGAACTGAATAAATATTTTTTAGAAGTTAATAAAAAAAATTAGACTTTCTTTATAAGTATTAAAATATTAGATCTAATTTTATTATATTTATTTATTTATATAAAAAATGTCACGTGATTTTGCATGAAGTGCCAAATCTTAGTTTAGTTGATTTTTATCTACTTAGTATTTTCTATTAGATGACCTTATTAGTGTCAATTAAAATTTAAAGACTTAAATAGAATTTTTTTATTAACTAGTTATTCTTATCAAGTCAAGTTAAGTCTTATGAATAGTTTTCAGAGAGAATGAGTCATTGTTGTTAGATTTTACTTGGCTATGGTGATTAGCCTTTTAAAAAAAATTTAGGATTTTTTCTATACATACTTATATTTTTAGATTCTTTATTTGTGGTGTTTGATTTTCCTTCACTTAATAAGAATGTCTTTTCCTTTAACTTTTGGTATAGCAAAATGAAATAGAATAGTTTTTTTTAAAAAAAAAAAAAATCATTTTTGGAATGTTATTGTTAATTAAGATTATTTACAATGTTGCTAAACCATAGTATTGGGTGCTAAGACACTATTGGGCTAGGTGTTGTTTCAAGTAAAAGATAATAATATTATTGCACCATGATATAATAGCAAGTCATATGTTAGAGTTGGAAGCCATGTTACACAAGGAATTTAGTACACTATAGAGGCATTGCTTTAGGTTAGAATGGTATGCAATGTTGAAGGGCATGTGTTCTTAACAATGACAATAGATCTTGCAAAAAATGGTAATTTATGATTGTCATGCACATGGATTAATCAAGTGTTGGTATTTGGTTTTTCAATTCTCTACTATGAAAGAATTAATTTTAAATTTAGAAGGACTTTACATGAGACCAAATTTTGTTTCCATTATTTTTGTGTCTTTCAATATTAGTATATAATTTCTATTAGTTTATTCAATTTTAGCTTTAAAAATCTAAAATAACTACAAGACTTGTTTTAGAGAAATATTGAAGCATTGGAAGACCTAAAAAAATGTTGTTTGATTCTAAGAATTGCAAGTTAGGAAACAACACCCTTGAAATTAATCAAATTGAAGTGTAGATTCTTGTTTGTTAATTAAAGAGTGTTGGATTTGTAGATATAAATTATTTTTATAAAATAGGTAATAGATTGCTCTTTCTCATTTAGATTATAATAAAAATTTGATTTTATTGAGTACATCAGGGATATGCAAGAAAGAAAAGCAATTTGCAATGGCTCAAGCAATAGTATACTTGAATAAGTTATAACAGCATATTGTGAAGACAATGCAATGTCATGTTGTAATACAATTATATAATGAAAGATAAAAATATAGGTTCTATAATAAAATAATCTAATTAAAAATATATAAAAATAAAACATAAATAAAAATAAAAATGAAGTAAAAAATTTTAGTGTTAATGTAGCATTTTTTTGAAATGACTTCTATTTAATTTGTATGACCATAAAAAAGGCAAAATTTTATAAAGATTAACATAGGATTTTATAAGAATTTGGTTAAGATTTGATTAAGATTAAATTAATATTTGATTAGGCTTTGATTAAGATTTGATTAGAATCTATTTAAGATTTAATTAAAATTTAATTAAAATTTGGTTTTTATTAGGATTTGATTATGATTTAGTTTTTTAGAATTAAAACTTTTGTTTATTGCAATTTCTAGTTTATCTTCTACAACTAAGTTCTTGGTGCATTCTCAAGCAAGATAACATATTATACAAAAATGGGATTGTAAGAAAGAATGTATGGCAAAATGTGATTTTATACAATAATAGAAGAATATATGTTTATCAAATCTATTCAATAACAAGAGATATTGTGTTAATAGACAATGGTATGTGGTATTGTGTGGTAATTTGATTATATGATGAAAAATAAAAAAATGGATATTAATATAGAAGAGCCTAATAGAAAGATATAATAAAAAAATAATGATAAATTATAGAAAGATAGTAAAAAGTTTAGTCTCAATGTTGCCTTTTATAGAAAGAACTTCTATTTACTTTGTAGAAGCATAAATGAGCCAAATCAAGATAAATGAGATAAGAAATTAATATAAGCATGTTTAAAAGAGAATTAGGAATAGATTAAAGAAAAACTTATCTAAATTATCAAAATTTAATACCTAGAGAAGATCAATTGTCAACTTGGATCAAAATCAAATCCTAATGCATAAAACTAGGATTTTTTTGTAAATTTAAAAATAGAATTTGAGAGCAAACTTGAAGAGAGATTTTTAGGCATTGATTTCCTATCATTTGAATCAATATTGAAAGTTTGAAGTATTTTCATAGTTAATAATATTTTTAATAGATTTAAATTTTAAAAAATAAAAATATATTTATAAATTTGAAGATTTCATGAGTTTTGTGGTATGTATATGGATGAAATTTAAATAAGTTGTTGTTGTGCTTGTTATTAATGTGTATGCAAAATTTGAGGTCAATCAAGCAATAAAATTGAAGCATATGAGAGTTGTTATGGGTCATGGTCTCAAAAATTTGAAATTTAGGATTAGTAAGTGATTCTAAGATCTAGCAATATTTTTCAGTTAGATTCAAGAAAAATTAAGGGAATTCTCTTAAGACTTGAATATCTATACACAATCCAATTTTTGGAATAATTGAACAGTATTATGATGTAATATGGCTAATGAATGAAAGAAAGAAAAAAATACTATATTATTGAAGATATTATTTTAGAAATATAGATAATAATCAAAAAGATAGTAAAACTAAAAATTTCTAATATTACTTTTTTATAAAATAGGCTTCTATTTACTTTGTAAGGCTATAAATAAGGTAAAAAAAATAGATTAAAAAATTATATGATATAAGTATGTGTAAGAAATAATTAAGAGTAGATTGTAGTAAATTTTACCTCAAGAAGCTAAGAATTGATATCCAAAGAAGATCAGTTGTAACATGGATTAAAATTAGATCCCAAGGCACAAAACCACATACTTATGGTGACTCTAGAATTCATTGGTAGATCAAAGAGTGGGATTTGAGAGCAGACTAGAGAAGAAATTTTTAGGCATTGGTTTCATGTTATTTGATTCAATATTGAGATTTTGAAGAATTTTCAAAGTTAGTGATGTTCTTGATGGAATTAGAGTTTGAAAAATAACAATATGTTTACAAATTTGAAGATTTCTTAAGTTTTATAGTGTGTGTAAAGGTAAAATTTAAGCAATATGTTGATGTACTAGTTATAAATGTATTTGCAAATTTTGTGATCAATCAAATAGTTAGATTAAAGTATATGAAGGTTTTTGTGGGTTGAGGTCTCAAAAAGTAGAGTTTGAAGATCAATGAGTATTTGTAAGATCTTTAACAATCTATCAATTGGATTGAAAAGAAGTTTTTTATAAGGATATTAGATTTGATTTCTAATATTTAAGTAAAATTTGAAAATAATTCAATAGTTTAAGAAGTTTAGTATTCAGGTTGGAGTAGGAAGGCACATAATAATTGATTGGATTATCTTACATTTCTTTTAATTGATAAGTGTAATTGATTTCATCTTTCTTGTATTTTTTTGTAAATAAGATATTAAAAAGTACATAGATTTAGAGTTGATATCAATGATTTGATCATTAGTCATAGAGGTTCTATTTTACTATAAGGCTTGTTAAGAATTTATTTAAGATCTTGGATTTGATTAGAATTTGGTTTGAGATTTGGTCTAGGATTTGATTAGGATGAGGATTTGTTTTAGAACTTCTCTAGGATTTTTCTAAGATTTATGATTTCATTAGGATTTGATTTAGGATTTGATTAAGATTCAATTAGAATTTTAATTAAAATTTGACCTAAGATTTGATTAAGATTTAATTAATATTTTAATTAAGATTTTATTAAAATTCTTATTTTTAATATTTATTTAAAATTATTTGTGTTTTTTTTGTAACTTCTTTAAAATTTGTTTTGATAGGTTAAAATTTGATTTAATTATTAAGGATTATTTGAAGTTTATTTAGGACTCTATTCGACTTTGTAGAATTGTTGTTATATTATTACTTACCTTCCATAATTAGGTATTTGGTGCATTTTCAAGCAAGAATATATATAATATGATAGTCTTTTAGTAAAGAAAAATTGATATTGAAAGAACAATATAAAATAACAAAAGAAAGAACAATATAAAATAAGTGAAATAAGCGCAATTAAGTAATTGCATTCAATAAAAGTAATTCATAGTCTGTTCACTAAGTTTTTATCTTGTAAAAAGTAAAAATAAATATTAAAAAATATATTTTTAAATATTTAATTTTATTATCTTTGTAATAACGTGAAAAACATGTCAATCTAATTTATTTTGAATATGTTATAAAATTTTAAAGATAAGAATTATTAATAAAGTATTCATAATAATTTATTTAATAAGTTCATAGATAAAAAAAATATCATTTAAAATTTTCTAATAAATATAATTTTTTTACTTAAATATTTTTACTTTTTTAGCATAAATTTAATTTAAAATAATTTTATGCATGTATAAGTGGTACAATTTTTTGTACTAATGAGTCAATTATTCTTAATAATACTAATAAATGAAAGGAAAGAAAAATATCATGATAAAGATGACTCAATTACTAAGAATTTAAACAATCAATTCATATGCTAAATATAAAATTACTTAAAACTTACAATTAAATAAAATTTTGATCCCAAATAGCTTCATATTCTTTTATTACAAATATTAATTCTATATCTTTCAATACATCAAAAGTTCTCACATTTCTATTAAAAACTATAACAGCTTTTACCGTTTCATGATTATCATTGATTCCTCCTACCACTACTCTGTGTTTGAAACAGAAGATCACCTGCATGTTCACATAACTGAATAATCAACAACATTGGAAACTTTTCGAAAGTAGTTGCAAGTAATCTGCAAGCACAGAAAGCATGGTTGTATTGAGATGCTGAGGGTCACAGGGCTGGAAAAAATCAAGCCAGAAAAAAACGGAAAAAAATAAAATAAAATAAATTAACAGAACAATTATAAGAGCTTGGGCAGTTTTAGACCCCCCTCCAAAAACTCAGCTTCGTTCAAGAATTTCAAGAATTTCATTCTTATCGCCCAATCAGCCTCAGTAGACAGTATACATATCCTTGAGCAACAGTAAAAAGTTTACAGTGTCCTCGTCCAACTCTTCGGAGCTGAGACATATTCTGACACCTTAATTGCTTCGACCTTCAATCACCAACATTCGTCTACTTGGCAAAGCAAATAGGTTGATAAAGAGGCTAATTTTTCAAGATGTCATTTCAACGAAGATGCAACCCGAAACACTGTGAAGGTTTAATAGTGTGAAAGTACCTGCTCTGTGAGGAACTCTCCTTCAACAAAATCGGTCATTTGAGGATCATTGGCATCAGCGGCAGCCTGGCAAAGTCACGGATACGGACGTTGTTAATAATCTTTTAGTAAAGCATTATAATCATGGCTGATTCTACTAAAATAACGGAATTACCATAGCTTTACGAGAAAATTGGTCACACTGAAATATCACAGTTACAACCTGGTCTTCAGACATAAAATTATAAAGAACATTACAATTGTTCTCAGTAAAGGGAATATAAATGCTGTAGGAGCCGTTTGCTTCATAACATTCAACACACCACCATTACTCGAGCAAACATGCACACAAGAGGAGGATGCAGCACACTACAAGGACCGGAATGAGGGTGTGCAAATGGATTATAGGCTGATTCTAAGAATTCTGGAAGTAAAGCAAAGTGGAGTATACATGGGTTGATTCTAATCGTGTATAGAGTTACTATAAAAACCACCAGAAGTCTTACTGTTATTGGAAGTCGACTGAAGCATCCGCACAGATTGTGTGGCTGTGACAACCGGTAGAGTCTTTTTGTGAGTTAATAGTATCTTTCCAAAAGTTGGTGGGAGTGGGAGTGTTAAATATGTAGATTTTGATTTTTGATAGATAAAAGGTTGAGTTAACTTTGATTTTTTGTTTTACTTTTGACTAAAATGATGAGGCATGCAACCAATCAAAGAGTGTTTTTATCCCTTCTTGTTTGTCTCCTAAGTTGCATTATATATATATATATATATATATATATTAGATACCAAAAAATAGATAATAAAATACTTGGATTAATCTAAATCTTATATTATTAAAACTTTATTATACCTATCATATCCTTTCTTTACATTATAAAAATTGGATCCTTCATAGTCTATTGTAAAAGCTTATAAAAAGCTATATCTTAGATTTTAGACCACCAAATATTTTCTTCTTTTTTTATATTCTATTTAATCTTCATCTTCTTAAATTTGGTGACTATTTTAGATAGAACTTCATTTTGAGTAACTTAAAATCTAAAGTTAATATATACCACTTAGCTATTTTAATTTCTTATACAAGTTTCTTACTTTTAAAAGTTAGATTAAAAGCAATCTTAATTTGATACTTGAGCTATTGTCACAAAAATATACATTTATATTAGTTAGAAGAGTTAAATAGAAATAAATAATATATTTGGAGGTAAGAATAAGACCTTGGTTATTCTTATCAATGTTCTTTTTATTCTTAGCCTTTTTTAAAGAAGTATTTAATCTTTTTATCTTGGCAAATAATCATTCTTATTTTTTTTGCATACACGTACTTTCTTATTTTTTATTTTTATTTTTTTATCTCTATTTGACATATATTTCACCTATTTACTAACATTCTTGAAGTTCTTTTCCTTGATAGTTTGATAAGAGTGCTAATTTATTATACTTTTTTTAAAAACAAAAAAAAACAAAAAAATATTCCTTTTATTGTATTTTAATGATTTCAAACTATCTACCTCTAACCCAACATTTTTTTATTTTCTAATATTAATTATTTTTTAATAAAAGTAGAGTATTTCTCTCTTTTTAGAAATTTTTATTTTAATATTAGATATTTTAGATTATTTTCTATTCATTTGATTTGTACATTTATTAAAATTTTCTAAAAAGAAAAAAATTAATAATGAAGTCTAATGTCTACGCCAAAAGGTTGTATACTTCAAAATATAAATAGATCAACTTCATAAGTGAATCCAAAAAGTCTTGCTATTATAAGTATAAGAGATGCAAAGATTAGTATGTTAGAGAAATTTGATGGAACAAGATCAAAGTTTTAAGAATTTCTACAACAATTCAAGTTCTATTTAAGGTTACATCTTTTTCACTATTTTGATGGATTTATTTAAATTAGATTTATAAATATACTTCTATTTGTAAATATTATTTTTAATTTTTGTCTTTAATGGAAAAGAATTCATAATATTTATATGTTTTTAATTTATTTTTAAAATTATTTATAGTTAAATTTTTAAATAACATTAAAAAAAAAGAGATAATATTCTTTTCTTTATAATAATGATCACAATCACTTACTATCTATACTACCAAGTTCCAAAACCTTACTTGTAATGTAGAATAAAATTAAATCACCCTCTTCAATTAATTATAATATGGATTATAATATTATATAAAATATTTATTATTCACAATAAAAAAAGAAATTCAAAATTTATTATTGAAACTATTTCGTGAAAAAATTAATTAGAAAAAAAAATCAAGGAAAAAAATTTATTGAAGAGGAACAAATTAAGTTATAAAACAAATTCTAAGTTTCTAGAAACTTATTTATTATGACTAAAATCTATGAAAATTGATAGGATATATTTTAAAACTCTTACTTATCAAGAAAAGACTTGAAATTGTAAAAAAATATTTTGTTTATATTATAAAAAATCTAAGTGAATAGCTAAATATTGTCAAATGAAATAATACAATTACAAAATAAAGAGCATAGTTATCCAAGAAGACAGTGTATTAGAAAATAAGTTTGTCTAGCTACAATATGAACCACATAATTAGAATCTTATGTAATATCTAATAAAGATCTTATTCTCTTTTCAAATCTCATAATGGTAAAATTTACCTTTTATTCCAAATTACAAGATGTCTTCATTTAAGAATTGCTTGTAATTGGTGGTATGAAGTAGAATAAATAATAAATAAATACAACACAAATCAAGTGAAATAAGTATAATCAAGCAATTACATATTATAAAATTAGTCAAATTTTGTGCACAAAATTTTTATCTAATAAAAAATAAAAATTAAGATAGGTAATTTTATTATCTTTTCAATGAATTAAAAAGCATATAAAATAAAGTTATTAACTTTATGAATAAGTTATAATAATTTAAAAATAAAATATAAAAAATAAAAAAATTAAGTGAATAATTTTTATATTAAGAATAATTTATTTAAAAGATTAAGAATTTGTGTCTTATTAAGACTTATAAATGATATATATGGATGTTTTAGAGAGATTGCAAGGCCTTAGTCTAATCCTTCAACCTACATCTAAAGTGCTACAATCCATATGAGATTGTCATAAATATACATATTTACTTCAATAGTTATTTAAATATTATGAATAAATAAAAGTAGATTAATATGATAATATTTTTTTTATGAAACTTCACCTTTATGTGTATCTATAAGTCATTAATAGGTTAAAAACTTATCCAACAAGTTAGCCATATGTTACACGTGTTTGTAGCTTAAGATATAAGCCAACAATGTGGCACACATATAAGAAGCTTGTCTTATAAGTTAAGATATGTGTCTTAAAAATTGGACACATGTCAAAAATCCTATAGAATGTCACAACGTAGCTTCTAATTAGATAGTATATATGGAGGCAAGAGTGAAGCATTCTTTTTTCTTGTCAATGCTTTTTTAGTCTTTAGATTTATTTTAAGACTTTTTAATCTTCTTATCTTTAATAATAGACATTCTAATTCAATATATTATCATCTTTGAGTAATTTTCTAGTCTTTTTGAATAACATAAGAGTGTATTGAGTTTTTTTTTTTTTTTTTTTTTTTTTTTTGAGTTTCATGTCTTTGACAATTTGAAAAGAGTGCTAACTCATTGTTCTTGTCTTGTTTTTAAAAGTAATTAGACTACCTCATTTTTATTATTGTATTTTAAAGATTATGGACTATCTATTTTTAATCTAATATTTTAGTTTCTTAATAGTGATTTTTTCCTTAAAGTGAGTAAAATAAATCTCTTTGTAAAAAACTTTATTTGATATTAAAGACTATAGATTATCTTCCTTTAATTTGACTCATAGATTTGTTTTGAATTGCCTACAGAAGAAAAAATTATAAATGCTATTCTTAATAGAGGTGAGAATAGATTTGTAACTATTATAAATTTTCATGAGCTTGTCAAAACTCTTAGGATGGAAATCTCATGTGTTTCTAATATCAATGATGGAAGTAATATTTCAATACCTATGAAAGAGGTCAATAATTAAGTTCAAAGTCTACCAAAAAGTTGTATAATTGAAAGAAGCAAGTAGATCAAGTTTACAAATAAATCCAAAAAGACTTGCTACTACAAGTATGAGGGAGGCAAGGATAATTATGCTAGAGAAGTTTGATAGAACAAGATCAAAATTTCAAAGATTTCTACAATAAGTTTTAGAGCAAATTTGAGAAGATATTTTTAAAAGCTAATTTTGTATTATTTGGATGGATATTGAGGTTTTGTGAACTCTTCAAAATTAGAGATGTACTCAATGGATTTATATTTTAAAAAATAAAAATAGTTTTATAAATTTTAAGATTTTATAAGTTTTATAGCTTATTTATAAATAAAAATTTGTTAAATTATCATTGTACTTGTTGTGAATATGTATGATTTTTTTTTGTATTAATCAAATAATAAGATTATAGATTATCAAAGTTTTTGAGGATTATGGTTTCAAATAATTAAAATTTAAAATAAATGAAGGTTTTTACAATCTCAAAATTTTTTCTAATTTGATTGAAGTACAATTTGGTGAAAGAAATTTAAACTTAAATATCTATACGAAATTCAATTTTTAAAGCAATTGAATGGTTCAACATAGAGAAATATTTGTTGGAAGATCAAAATTTAATTTGGAAAAGAAAGGCGGCTAAAATCTAAGAGGTTTTGAGAGCATTTCTTGCAATTGATGAATCCAATTCTTCTCAATTTTTGTATGCTTGTTAATTTCTTTTTTTTTGAAGTCTAGATGAAATTTTAGTTAAGATCAATAATTTAATTAATATTTATTGATGTTTTAAATAATAATATTAATTGATTAAGATTTATGTAAGATTTTCTTAGAATTATTTAGGATTTGATTTAGAATTTGGTTAATATTTGGTTAGAATTTAGAATTTAATTAGAATTGATTTAAGATTTTATTATAATTTAATTATTATTTAATTATAATTTTATTAAAATTGATTTAGGATTTAGAATTTTATCAAGGTTTAAGAATTCAATAGGATTTTATTAATGTTTGACTAAGATTTAGGATTTAATTAGAATTTGGTTAGAATTTAAGATTTCATTAAGATTTCATTAAAATTTGACCTAAGATTTGGTTAAGATTCTTTAGGATTTTAATTAGGATTTAATTATAATTTAATCAGGATTTATTTAAATTATATTCAGATTTTTTATTTTTATTATTTATTTAGTATTTTTATTATTTATTTAGTATTTTTATTATTTCTTATTTTTTATTTCTAATATTTTTAAGGTTATTATTATTTCTTAAATCTTATTTTTTTATATTTTTTAAGATTTTTTTTATTATTTTTCTTTGAAATTAATTTATGGCTTCTTTAATGTTTTTTATAATTAATTTTAAATTTCATTAAAATATATTTAGACTTATTAAAATTTGATAAGATTTATGAAAATTTCTTTAAAA